AGCACTGGTCCACCTCGTCCCACCTAAGTCGGGTGTGGTGGCCGCGACGATGGCTCGGGAGGACCAAGAGCTGAGGGAGCGCCTCGAGGCAGAGGCCGCCGACGAGGCGTATATGGAGGACCTCCGCCGCCAGCACCCCGAGCTCGTGGAGGCGGAGTATGCGATATTCACTGACAATGGCAGGAGGTCATCGCCACCTCCGATAACGAGGTGCAAGGCGACGAGGAGGGCGGCAAGGATAACGGCAAGGAGGAGGAGGAGTTCAACGTCGAGGAGTGGCGGAGCATCTTTCCCCACTACGATGACAACACCAGCCCCAACCCATGTCTCACCGGCGGTGGCCTCTCGAGAAAGGGCTCGACTTCCACTATGGCGATGAGTAGTCTAGTTTATTTTTAGTAACAAGTTTAAATTTATGTTTAATGTTCGGTTGTCAAGACTATGTTGAACTTATGTTTAAATTTATGCAAATTCCGGTTGAATCTAGATTGAATTTATGCAAATTTATGTTTTACTCCGCTAAGTTTAGTGGATCGTCTAGCACCGACCAAAACTTATTGGGGTATAAATACTCCACTAAGGTTTACTCGGCTGGAAACTCCACTATTTTATATGGGATCAGTTCGAAATGTCGTAAGTAACTTGAAGGGGATTAAAGTTTAGAAATCATTCACTAATAAAAGAATAATGTAGTTACAACATATAAAATTGATCAACACAAAGCCAATACAAGTATGTGAGCTTAGAGTACACAAATCCGATGTAGATATACATGCATGTATGTCGTCCCCAAGGATATATGAGTCAAATATAAAGCCCACATGAACTAAAAATCACACCATATGTGCAAAACAACACTCAAGGAAGAGGTGATGAATGGTCTCCTCCTTATTACAAAAAGCACAAAAACTCTATGAGGATTTATTGATCACAGTTTACAATCGCATCAAGTGAGCATTTCAAGCGGCAAGACCCTATATCATTAGGTTCAATGACATTTCGATGCTTTTTCATATTTTCATATTTTATCATGTTTTTAGTAATTAAATTCCATGAGTTTTTAGTTTAATACACTTGCATTTGTATCCAAGAAAATTAGACCTTAAATGTTTGCCCCAGCTAAGTTCAATTTTTGGATCTGCCACTGATTAGACCTGACTTTAAGTGTAGTTGGTCCTCGAAGCCTAGTATAGGTCTTGTAAGAGTACTCTGTTCCATATTCTAGTGCGTATAAGCTTTTGGGTCTTATTCCAAATTGTAGTGCGCATAAGCGTCTTTTGTCCAATATAACCCTTCGTCTGGATCAGCACAGCAAAGCTGCATGCACCCAGATGCATGTCAGGGGAGCAGACAAGAGGCAATTCTAGTCCAAATAAATGTGCCACCTCATGTCTTGGTATAAGTGCCACAAACAACACGCACTATAAAAGGGAATGGAGGGAGTAGTTATTTTGAGACAATAGGTTAAAACCTTTAGAAAACTAGCTAAAGGTTGGAGAGTTAATCAAACCCATTACGCGTCGCATAAATGGCGCTCTCTCGGCTATGCCACGCATGAGATTTTTACTGTTATGATAGACCACACTTTCCTCAGGTAACACCTCCCTCGGTCAAAAGGAAATAGCTAGATAATTCATTAGAAGAAAAGGAAACAACACTCTCCGAGGGAAAGGGCGACTGTGATTGGTGCTTAGGAACGTCGGGGTGGGTTGCGTGCACGCACTAAAATCTAGTCGCCGCTCATCTCCGCCTCTCCCACGTGCCCTGTTGCCCGCCACTGATACGTCTCCAACCGTATCTATAATTTTTTATTGTTCCATGCTATTATATTATCTATTTTGGATGTTTCATGGGCTTTAAATATGATCTTTTATATTATTTTTGGGACACCTATTAACCAGGGGGGCAGTGCCAGTTTCTGTTTTTTGCCTATTTTAGAGTTTTGCAAAAAAGAAATATCAAACGGAGTCCAAATGGAATGAAACCTTCGCGATGATCTTTCTTGGACCGAAAGTAGACCAGAAGACTTGAAGATGAAGTCAGAGACGTAACGAGGAGGCAACGAGGCAGGAGGGCGCGCCTGGGGGGGTAGGCGCGCCCCACCCTCATGGACCCCTCGTAGCTCCACCGACCTAGTTCTTTCGCCTATATATACTCTTATACCCTAAAAACATAAGGGGATCCACGAAACCACTTTTCCACCACCGCAACCTTCTGTACCCGTGAGATCCCATCTTGGGGCCTTTTTCGGCAATTTGCCGGAGGGGAAATCGAACATGGAGGGCTTCTACATCAACACCATTACCTCTTCGATGAAGCATGACTAGTTTACCACAGACCTTCGAGTCCATAGTTATTAGCTAGATGGCTTCTTCTCTCTTTTTGATTCTCAATACAAAGTTCTCCTCGATGTTCTTGGAGATCTATTCGATGTAATATTCTTTTGTAGTGTGTTTGCCGAGATCCGATGAATTGTGGATTTATGATCAAGATTATCTATGAATATTATTTGGTTCTTCTCTAAATTCTTATATGTATGATTTCATATATTTGCAAGTCTCTTCAAATTATTGGTTTAGTTTCGCTTACTAGATTGATCTTTCTTGCCATGGGAGAAGTGCTTAGCTTTGGGTTCAATCTTGTGGTGTCCTTTCCCAGTGATAGTAGGGGCAGCAAGGCACGTATTGTATTGTTGCCATCGAGGATAAAAAGATGGGGTCTATATCATATTGCTTGAGTTTATCCCTTTACATCATGTCATCTTGCTTAATGCGTTACTCTGTTCTTTATGAAATTAATACTCTAGATGCATGTTGGATAGCGGTCGATGTGTGGAGTAATAGTAGTAGATGCAGGTAGGAGTTGGTCTACTTGACACGGACGTGATGCCTATGTTCATGATCATTGCCTTAGATGTCGTCATAATTATGCGCTTCTCTATCAATTTCTCGGCAGTAATCTATTCACCCACTGTAATACATGCTATCTCGAGAGAAGCCACTAGTGAAACCTATGGCCCCCGGGTCTCTTTTCCATATTATTTAATCTCGTTTACGATCTACTATTTTGCAATCTTTACTTTCCAATCTATACACCAAAAATACCAAAAATATTTACTTTATTATCTCTATTAGATTTCACTTTTGCGAGTGACCGTGAAGGGATTGACAACCCCTTTATCGCGTTGGTTGCAAGTTCTTGATTGTTTGTGCAGGTATTCGATGACTTGTGCGTTGTCTCCTACTGGATTGATACCTTGGTTCTCAAAAACTGAGGGAAATACTTATGCTACTTTGCTGCATCACCCTTTCCTCTTCAAGGAAAACCAACGCAAGCTCAAGAGGTAGCAAGAAGGATTTATGGTGTCGTTGCCGGGAGATCTTCGTCAAGTCAAGCCATACCAAGTACCCATCATAAACTCTTCTCCCTTGCATTACATTATTTGCCATTCACCTCTCGTTTTCCTCTCCCCCACTTCTAAAATGATTTTCGAAAACCTTTGCCTTTTCTTCGCCCCTTTTCCGTTCGTCTCTTTCCGCTTGCTTCTTGTGTGCTTGTGTGTTGGTGTGCCTGTTTACTTTGATGGCTGTGCCAAAAAGCGTTGATCCTCATCTAAGGAGGTTGGAAGAAATTGAAAATAACTAAGAAGCTTTATGTCTTTGCAATTTGAGCATAATAATTTCTTTAGAAACGAGCTTAAAGAACAAAAAAGTTTTTGGAGTACATGAATAAAGAGCTCGATGATATGTCTAAGGAGTTTTATGGTTTGAAATCTCAGTTTGCTCATCTTGAGAATTTAGTAGGCCAATTTTCTGATAAAAAAGCCACCTTAGTTAATAAGATGGCCACTAAACCAGAGGCTCTACATAATAATGATGAAGATCTAAAAGTGATTAATGTGACTCCTATTAAATCTTTGTTTTCCAATATGAATCTTGATAAAGATGGGACTGGAGATGAGTCAACTTTAGTTAAAAGGCGTCCCAATGATTTGGAGTTTTTAGATCTAGATGCAAAGATTGATAAAAGTGGGATTGAAGAGGTCAAAACTTTAAATAACAATGAACCCATTATTTTGGATTTCAAGAAATTTAATTATGATAGTTGCTCTTTGATAGATTGTATTTCCTTGTTGCAATCCATGTTAAATTCTCCTCATGCTTATAATCAAAATAAAGCTTTTACTAAACATATCGTCGATGTTTTGATGCAATCTCTTGAAGAAAAGCTTGAACTAGAAGTTTCTATCCCTAGAAAACTTTATGATGAGTGGGAACCTACTATTAAGATTAAGATTAAAAATTATGAATGCGATACTTTGTGTGATTTGGGTTCTAGTGTTTCTACGATTCAAAAAACTTTGTATGATGTGCTAGGTTTCTGTGAATTTGATGATTGTTCTTTAAATTTGCATCTTGCGGACTCCACCATTAAGAAACCTATGGGAAGGATTAGTGATGTTCTTATTGTTGCTAATAGGAATTATGTGCCCGTAGATTTCATTGTTCTTGATATAGATTGCAATCCCACATGTTCTATTATTCTTGGTAGACCTTTCCTTAGAACGATTGGTGCAATTATTGATATGAAAGAAAGAAATATAAATTCCAATTTCCGTTAAGGAAGGGCGTGGAACACTTTCCTCGGAAGAACGTAAAATTGTCTTATGAATCTATTATGAGAGCCACTTATGGATTGCATACCAAAGATGGCAATACCTAGATCTATTCGTGTTTTTATGCCTAGCTATGGGCGTTAAATGATAGCACTTGTTGGGAGGCAACCCAATTTTATTTTTGTTCTTTGCTTTTTGCTCCTGTTTAGTAATAAATAATTCATCTAGCTTTTGTTTACATGTGGTTTTATGTTTTAATTAGTGTTTGTGCCAAGTAGAACCTTTGGAAAGACTTGGGTGAAGTCAATGCGATCTGATCCAGTCCCGCGCCACTGAGCAACAAGGACAGGTGCAGTAGCAGGAGGACGAGGTGGTGAACGGCAACATGCTCCCCTATTGCACCATCGTCGGCAAGAAGAAGAAGACCATCGGGGAGATGGAGCAGGAGTTCCTACGAGACCTACAAGTACGTACATCTGATCCATATTCTTCGTGTTTCGATCGATTACTCTGCTCTTCTAACATCTCTCACTCTCTGTCTCCACATGTACTCTTGTGCATTCCTTCTACTACGATCATAAGGCCATCATGTCTAACGAGGAGTTCAACAACCTCAAGGAGGAGCTCATGTGGGAAGGCAGCAACCTCGTCCTGCTAAGTACGAGCTTACTAAAACTGGTTCAAACCTCTGTTGTATGATTGAAATTTCCAACTATTGTATGATTGAAATTTCAAACCTCTGTCCATTTTCCTGGTGTTTTCAGGCGCCGATGGGCAAAGGCTGCTGGAAGCCTCCATGGCCTACATCACCGGCAACCCCATCATGTCTGACGCGGAATTCTACGAGCTCAAGCTCAGACTCAAGGTACCCCCCAGCCTGGGATATGATTTTTGTAGCGTTCTTTGAATGAGTTAAGCAAATGCCAACAAAAATCCAGTTAAACGTTCAAAACCACACACTGTCAGATATACTCTGCTCGTCGGGGTAGTATGCTCCTCGTGTCCTCCGTGTAATGTAATGTAATGCATACATTTCAAATGATGTTGTCGTGATTGAGTTTTCTCTTCTGGCTGATGCCTTTGCAAGCAAGACGAAAGCGACATCATGACGAAAGGTCCGAGGTGCACTCTACGGAGTCAGAAGGTGAGTGATGATCCAAAATCATACAACGGAGATACTCTGTTATAACATTTCCATTCTATTATATGTTTGCCTTGATTCACATTCAAGTAACCCCCCATTGCCATATGCAATATGTTTGAAATTAGTGAATAAACCCACTTTACATCATGTGACAAACTCTGAAATTAAACCACCAAAAATGTTGCTACGATTTTATTCTTTGTTTCTTTTGCAGGGATCCTCCATATCAAGGGAAGAGCAGGGTAGTGTGGGCAAGGGAAGAGGACAGGGACAGGGAAGAAGTGAACTGATGGGAAGAGCCTCATAATTCCCTTGCTTTCTTTGTGTACCAGCAGAAGCTCCTCCTCCCTCTCACTTCCATGTCTCTTCAATCCATCTATTTCTCTAACATTTTCCTTAATGTCACGATTGTCACGATTGTTCATATTTATGAAATAAACAAAAAAGAAATTAGATGCAGTAAAATTTTGGTGAAGAACATTTTTCCATAGCTTGTGAACATGTTGGTCCTTTGATTTAGATTTTTCATGATTTGTGGTCCATCCATGCTTTTGATATTCAATCACTTTATCGGTTTACATTTTCGTTACTACATATAGTATGTTATTATTCAGAAAAGTAACAAATGTTAAGCATTTTAAACATGGTGCTGCACTTTGGTACTCTGTACTAATTTATTTACATGTACACACTTCTATAAATTGCTCATTTGTTTTGTAGAACTGCTGGCCCACCATAGTATATAGAAGAATGAGGAGGCATTCTTATTGCTGATAATGAATCTGAAGTTTAAATTAAATATGTTCCTGAATATAAGGAATCAAACTTCTAGAATTTATATGCTCAAATGTATCTTTTGTTTATCATATTATAGAGACACTGGGAATTGAAGATGACTTGTAGAGACAAAATCCTAATGTGTGCGTATTCCAGTTAATTTTGCTTCATTCATTCATTATTTTCTCTGAAAAATGATTCAGTATGGTATGGTCATGCAGAACTTGTCGGTGCTAAGGAATCTCGAGACTAACCTCGCAGCCACCCAGTTTGAGCCCATTGTGAGTGGCCATACTCTAAATTGTCTCCCTTTTCCCTGAAAATTACACTATCGAAAGCAAATATTCAGGTACCGTCTATAATGGAAATTAACTTCCATTTGGTGTCCATATTTTACATTAAAGGCAGTGTAAAGAATATTGCTTATGTTGGATGTTACATGCCTTACAAAAGTAAACACCAATGGAGTTGCATTTGTTATCCTTCTTTTATTGTTTAAACACTTCTAAATAATAGCCATATGGTGATCATTCTCTTCTCTTTTCCTTTCATCTTTGTTTGCCAATTAAATAATTCCGCTGTCAACCTAACTTTCAATGAGAATTTCATCAACCTAATTTTTGCTTCAATACATTATTAGTCTTCCTTGATTTTATTCTCATATGGAAACAACTCACGCTAATTCACTACGTATGCGGCAGTGCCGGCGAATGCGTTGGATGGAAGGTACCTTCGTGCGGTCATGTCGAGATGTCGTCGTTTCTTGCCAGTGGAGAGCTTCCCCATGGCAGCATCAACCGGATCTGGCTAGTCCACATCCATGCTCCTCCTTCCCTGGCGGCTCTAGCGGACTTGCATACGACCATGGTTTCCATCGAGCCAAGAAAGCACATGCCTGGTATGGCCTCTTCGTCCAATCCTTCTCCCCCCCCCTCCACTCATGATCTCTCTCTGTCTATATTACTTATGCACTGCATTGTTGATTGTTTTGCAGGCTCACATCATGGTTCACATAGGAGATCCAAGCTGAGGAACTTGGAAAATCAAGTTGGTGAATAACAAGACATGCGATCAGTTTCTTCACATAAAAGGTCCAAATTCTCCTTTGATTTATGCTGGTTTTTTTGGAATCATGAAAAAAAATCTTCTTATGTCCACTCTTTTTTATGCATAATGAATTTTGTCGTGCCTTTCTTTTTATTGCAGTAGGTAAAAACAATATTATGACAGCAAGATTTTTCTGGTATTTGTTGAAATATTTGGGTAATGCAGTTTTATGATATCGAGTGCCTTAGCCTTTGGTTAGAAATAGAGCGTGGGAACAATATCTTTGGTCAGAGCACACTATATTACTTTGAAAAGGGCCTATGTAGTGAATCAGGTATGCTTGCTGAGAGGTCAACTTAGCTAACTTTAGGATGTCTGGTTTTACATATATTTTTTTCATGCCTGGGCATAGATAAGATGTATCCATGCTTTTTTTGCGTGTGTACCAAAGCCCCCCTTTACTTTTATAGGACTTTGGCTTTGCATTTCTCTTTGTTTGATGTCGCAAATGCATATTTACAATGACCGGTGTCTCAATATACTCTAACTTTGTTCTCGTGGTTTTATTTAGCTGCAGAATAGTTACATGCATGAGGAGGCTGTGAGTTCGGACAAGACGGAGCAGCGGCGGCGGTCACACATACTGATGGAGATCAAGGTGTCTACCTTCTTATTGATGATCCCATAATTCATCCACTAACTGATGGGTAAGATATGTATTTTGTTCAAATGATCTTCATTATTTTGCAACATGTATTGCATTTGTAGGGATAACCCTTTTTCTTATTTATTTTTTCCTTGTGCTCTCTGAAGATCAGATTTTGGCCTGTAAAATTTCTAGTGACTTGAAGTCTGAAACTGAAGAGCACATTCTTTTGGTTCTGATTTCCAGTGTGTGTATTGGTAGTGATGCATTTCCCAGGTAATTATTACTATCATTGTACATTGAGTGTATGAATCTTGATGATGATGGTCTGTATATTCAAACAATTTGCTAGGTAGCGCTAGACTTCCTTCATGTCATGCCAATGTTTCTAAAATTAGTTCAAGACCATCCTTTTTTTCTAGGTTAATTGTATTTATCTGTTCCTTGCTTGGCAAAAGGCGTAGGTGAAGGTTGGAGGTTTTATTGTCTACACAGTTGCATAGATCAAATACTAAAATTTATGTATCGTTTTCATCTTCTCATTCATGTCTAGTTTTCTAATTGGTTGTAGATGGTAGGAATTGCATCCATGTGCAGAGTTATTAAAATATTTGCCACCTAATCTTAGTTATATTCACGCAATTCAGTTGGGTTACTTACAAACTGGAAACAAGTTCTTAGTTATATAGCTCAGCTAAAAAATACAGAGCCCACATCAGATTGAAGTATATATGGTCATATTTGGCATTTTCACATGTAACTACCTCTAGGGCTATAGAGCTATTCAAAAGAACATATACATGAGGAAAATGTAGTAACGTGTATTTGGCCTGCTATTTGTTTTTGTTGGCCTAATTTTCCAATCAAATTATATTTCCTCACTGGCCTTCTTTCTATAGTTCTTTCCGACATACTATCGCCTACTACTCACGCGCACAGTCAGAAGGCAAGCAAGTTTGTATCCTATAAGTTCCACACTCGAAATAAATTTTATAATAATATAAGTATTATCCGTGATACCCTTGACACAATGTTGGTTTTAGATACACACCTTTATCAAGCTAGAGTTGTTGCCTGTGCATTGCATGTTGATATAAATTGGGATTGCCTAATTTTGTGTTTGTCCATTATTTTCAAAGTCTGCCCTAATGTGCATGGTTAGCAATCAGGGAAACTAGATATAGCTGATGTTTGATAATAGTTACTTCATGGTGTGTTAACCCTTTCGCATTATTTTACATAGTCATCTAAATATGTGAGATTTGAGCTGGTAGAGACAACACATCATCATTTTCTGACCTTGCATTCCATGTCATCCTCCATGGTCCAACAGTCCGTGTCGCTATCCTCATGCCTTGGTGTGTGGCGCTGAAGAGAAGAACAATGGCTTCTGTCGCCGCCATGATAGACGGCGCACGCAGGTGGCTGCATGGGAGGTGCGGCAGAGAAGACTCGTGCAGGTGGTGGCGGTGATGGCGGAGGGGCTCCAGAAGCTACAAATTGTCCCCTCCCATAGAGTTTGGCCTGCTCTGAGTAGTGTTAGCTCTACACCCTCTTCCCGACTCTCTCTTCTCCCTGTGACTTCTCCTTTTACCAATACCTGATACTTGCATAACTTAATTCGTTGTTGCACAACTTCATTTGCTTTGTGCCAGCAGACGAAAGGGGGAGAAAATGCATCAACTGTACCATGCTTGACCTTTGAATAATATTTGTTTGATCGGAGAGTTGGAGAGTTGGATGTGTGTTCTAAAGTAAGAAGATGACCACTATCCTATTTCTCATGTACATTCTAGATGATACACTTGTACGGTTGTTCTAATAGATGACTCTTAGATCATGTATATTCTCCAATTTCCCCCTTAGTTTGAACCATCTATTTAAGCAAAAAATCTCGTAGCTAACTCTAAGAGGAAAAGTTTGTCAAAATTCCTCACAAGTTTGTGGTAGTTCATCTATCTTGCAAGAGTAATTGAGAAAAATCGTATTCAACACAACGGAAGGGGAACCAGCTGTGGCAGTTTTGGGTACTGCCCGCAGATTTGGTACATAGAAAATCAGCCATCGTCATTAACAGTTGTAGTACTACCTGTGTCCGACTTTTTTGTCAGGTCTATGTACTGCAGATTTGGTACAACTAGCATTTTTTCTTCTCTAATATACAATATCTTTCTAATTTTGATGGTTTATTGAATTATCTTCTTGTAATATACATGCATCAGCTTACTAAATATAAACTTCCTGAAGAGGTCAGCCTATTGCTTGATGACATTGTTGCCGGAAACACTGCCAAGGTAGTTGTGCTCCTCATGATGGAGTAGTGCCTCGACATGTAGGACTTATTTGGTTAATTCCCCTGCTCACCACTTTTGTTTGTTCCAAAATATTTCACCATGTATCATATAATGAAAAGATGAATTTTGGGGCAAAACATACCAGCTTATTGTTTGTTTTGTTTTAGGAATCGGGATGGTCGCCATATGTTAGATCTCTTCCAAGCAAGGATCAGATGCACAACATGGTATGTACATGCAAAGCAAATGTTACATGCAAAGGAAATGTTACATAGCGACACACATTGTGATCTTCTAATATGCATTGGCTTATTGTTTGTTTTGTTTCTAGGAATCGGGATGATTGTCGTATGTTAGATCTCTTCCGGGCAAGGATTAGATGCTTAACATGGTATGTACATGCAACGGAAATGTTACATAGCGAAACGCATTTTGATCTTCTAATATGCACTGCTGGCATAAAAGTTATGATTGTTGGTTCAGATACACACAAACACAAGTGTTATGTGGTTAATTTTGTAGAGGAAAAAAATGAGGACTTTTAAGTTTTGTTCTGACTGATTGTTGACATGCCAACCGAAAGTGCTTGATTGTCTTATAAGCTAGAATTCTTGTGGTTTCTTTCTTACTAGGCTTGTTATGTTTTATTTTCCAAAAATCCCATGATTTTATCCTGATCCCAAATTGCTGAGGCAGGATAAGAATAAGGGGAATCCAAGCCTAATTCTTATATAGTAGTAATGCACCATATATACATTGAAGTACTATTTATGTTCTTCCTGATGGATCCATGGATTATCACATTCTGAAAGCCATAAATATTGTATGCAACAAATATGTAGTTCCCCAAGATGTCCTGGGATCTGGATGAGCTTGATGTGGTCCGACATCGCTTAGTTTATGACGAAGCCATCGAACAGAAGGAACAAGTTTGGAAACAGTTTCGAGCGGCAAAACCAGTTTCTCTCTCCAATAAATGACCTCTTGGTTAATTAGTCTAATAATTTTCCCCTCTTTATATACAAGGCCGATGGACGGTTTCCTCATTTGTTTAGAAAAATAAAGCTGGAACATTTTATGCCATGGCCTGAGTTGGTCTGAGTTTTTTTTTCTAGAATCATTCCTCCTAGGAGGTAACAAACATGTCACCAGATGCTTCCAGGACAGCTTTACGAATTGGTTTGCTCACTTTCGTCTGTCGAGCAGTCCAAGGTAATACTCACTACCACCTATGTATCTCACATATTTGTGCCTTCTAACTTCAATAGAGCTATTGCGTTGGTCTACTTGTACCATTCATTCAGTCTTTGATCCCTGACATCTGGGATCATTGCCAAAAGATGAATAGCTGAAAGTTGACCAATCTCAACAAGACACTCGAGGAAGATCAACTTATGATGGATCAAGAAGTATTGTGTTTATGATCATGCACTCCATTCTTTTCTGAAATATTGAAGGTTCTTGTTATGCCATCAACAGCATGGCTCTTGTTTATTTGTTGTATTGACTTGCATCTCTTTCTCTTAGTCCAATGACCTGTTGTTGCATGTCACCTGTTTGTAGATGAATATACATCTGTGCACATTTATTATGCTATGGACATATGGTTTTGTAGCACTGGTATTAAGATTTGAGTTTATTTCTCCTACATGTCAATGTACTCATGTTGTCTTTCCAGGTTTCCGATGCTAAAATTAGATTTGTTATGTTTGCCAATTGAAAGCATACATGTAATCCAATTGTTGCTCTATCATCTGGGATGCCTTTCTTCTCGCTAAACTAAGCATATTGTCATACAACCTATTGTCATACAGTCACAATAACAAATACAACGGCTTGATTAGCGCACACAATCCCACCTCAAGAGGCGCCACCAGGTGGCGCCCCAACCACTAGCGCTCTAAATAGAATTACATGTAGTGGTAATTATGTTTTGATAAATATGTTTTGCTTATTGAACCCACTAGTGCTCTAAATAGAGAGAACCACATAACTACACTCATAATCCTTTAGAGAAAGCTAGATGGAATGTGATTTTGGCTGAGATTAATAGTCTATGGGTGACGTTGAAAATTAATTCAAGACAAAGGGCTAGAGATAGGGACACATTAGAGGAAGGTAGAAACATTGCATATTTACATGTAGTGGCTAACCAAAAGACAAAGAAATTTACTAGTCCCTAAGTAGAGATATGTTTCATCCTTGGCCCACCCTACTTGAGGTGGTCTGATGTTGTTAGGCTCCCCTTCATTATAGATTTGTGCATCCATGCATACAACCTTTGTCTTATTGGTGGTGAGCTCCATTGCCTCATTACGGGGTTTTATGTGTGAAACTCTTGGCAATAACTACCCCATTGTTCAAGAACTAACCCGTTTTTTTAAGATAAACTAACCCATTTTTAACAATTAGCAAAACATAATTATCATAGTACGTTTGCACGATGCCAAACCCTAATTCTCCCAATAGCCTAGCCTTTGGAGTCAACCCAATAGCCATGCATGGAAGACATATTAATTTTCAACTAACTTAGTATCTGAAAGTTGTCATGCATATGGTCCAAGGCAATTCCTATTACCCACTCATTGTGTGAAAAAGAGGTGATCCGCACACAACTCTAATGTCTTGGGTCACACCCATTAGGAGGTTAGTTGTTTTCTCATTTTGTGATCAATTTTTATTTCTACTTATGCCATTTCTTACTTTCTATTTTTTTATTAGTTCATAAATTTTAATTTTGTTTTAGGTTTATTTATTAGTTCATTCATGTATTAATTATAAAAATGTTTTAAAATAATCCCCATAGGTATTCCTTTTTCATCTTAAATTTTCATTGTTCATTAACAAAATATTACCAATATTAAGGTCCTCATGTTTCGTCTTGGTTAGGTGAAAATTTATTCTGATAATCATGAATGATTTTTGAGCTATATGACATTTTCTCCTTTCATATTTTCTTTTGAAAATACATGTATTTCACTCGTTACATGATTTAAATGGAAAAATATTTACGTGTAGGTATCCATTAAAGAAGTAATTTGGATACAACATACTTTAAATGAAAAATATGTTCAGTTAAAATATGTATATGGCGGAAATGTTCAGGAATACATAAAAATAGCCATGTGTTTAAAAGAGACCTTCTATTCCCCCACCAACACGGAGAATAGAGAGAACACGCACCCCTCCTTCTGCGGCGCTAGATTTGGGCCAGCCATATGCGCGGCAAAGCTCCAGCGTTTCTGTTTGGTTTTTCTTTGTTTTAGTTCTTTATAAAACGTTTGGGATTTTTTTTAAAAAACTGAATTTCGAAAATGTTCCACAATTCAACAAATGCGCATGGATTGAAAAAACATTCATGAATTTGAAAAAATGCCCATGAATTCAAAAAATGTTGCAATTTCAGAAAAAAAAAAGCTCACAAATTTTAAATGCTTCAGATTTCGGAAATTTTTTATGAAATTTTTAATTTATTTGTAGAAAAATCATGAATTCAAAAAAACAAATCAAAAATTGATCGTGATTCAAATATTCACCAATATCAAAAAATTCAAAAATGTTCATAAATTTCAGAAGTTGTTTCCAAATTTCAAACTCTTTACGAATTTGGACAAACATTTTGTGATACAAAAAATTCCATGATTCAAATAATGTTTGAGAATTGTAAAATGTTCTTGTATTTCAAAAAATCAGAAAATTTAAAAGTGTTCCTGAAATTCCAAATTTGTTCTCCGATTTCAAAATTCTCTCTGAATTTTGGAAAAAATGTTCAGAATTTTAAATAGAACATAAAAAATAGAAGTAAAGGAAAGGAAAAATGGAAAGTAGAAATAAAAAACAAAAGAAAGAAATACATAAATTGTTTCTGGGAAGGTTCTAGATGTGGAGGACACCCTGAATGGGCCGGCCCATATAGCACACTGGCGCTTGCGTGTGGCCTTGGGGGTGCGCGTTTCATCTCTATCCCCCGCGATACGTGGGGAATAAGATCCGTTGATTTAAAAAGTGTTAATGGATTTGTAGATCATTTAAATGGGTCGAGATGGGAGCAAGGACCTCCCCATGGTCCAAGGTCCGAGCCCGAGCCCCTGCTAGAAAGAAGATCACGCTATTGGTGCCCAAGTGGGCTCATACCCTACTGCTGCAGCGATATTACGTATCCGACTACAAACCGCTACGCGGCGAACACTTGCAGAACTCCCTCCAAGACAGCGCGCTAGCAGAAGCATAGCCAAAGCAACCAGAGTGTTCGCCATTGTCCCTCTCTCTCCTTGATCATACCTGCTGTGAGCATCCAAGAAGAATCACCGCTAATGCCTACGCCACCGCCGCTCCGTATGGTGCACCTACGGCAGTCTCCCTCGCCGCCTGACACCGCAACAAAGTCGGCGGCGAGTGCGGTGGACGGAAGCAGTGGGGTGGACCTCACTTGTGTGGGCTGCACACTGGGGCTAGACCCCACCAGCGTCCGCCTCAACGGCTACTTCGTCATTCGCGACCCAGGGCACGTCTCCACAACGCTCACCTGGGGTGCGCTCCTTGCCATTTTGCCGCCTACAGGCTACCCACCACAAGCGTTGACCCCGCCACGCCCGTCAACGTCTGTGGTAGGCTCACGCCTTCGCCACCACGCTCAGGTGCACCTCTTATACAGCATAGTACGCTACTCTCTTCATCTTAAAATTCTTGTCTTATATTATTTATCTAGATACGGATGTACATACCGTATCTAGACAAATTTTTTGGGACAGAGGTATACATACTACGATGGTTCTTGCGGTGCCGCCGTTTTTGAGGAAGCTTCCTGATTCTTTTTTTTTTTTGAACTAGGATTCCTGATTCATGGCACTACGGAAGATAGAGAGCAACATGTTGGATGTTGTCCGAGAGTCCAGCCAGCAACCTGTTGATCTCTGATTCTCTGAAATTGCTCAATTTAGCTAGTACTCCCTCTGTCTCATAATATAATATATTGTTATAACCAATGTGTGAGTATAACGTTGAAAGATTTTCTAGCGTAACCGGTTTCTATCGGATAGGATGATGTCGTCCATATTGCTTGGGAATATGCGCATGTATTACTCTATATCAAGCATTGCCTGACACATATACATCATACTACTTTCTCTCACCTTCAATCCATCCAACTTTCTTACCCAGCTATGTGACTCTATGACGTGTGGGACAGCTAGTGAGGGGCCCCACAGCAGAGTGACTAGTGGAATGTTTGACATTAAAAGGTAGCATTACATCCCACCCATCCATGATTTCAGTTTGATTATATCCAATTCACAAACTGTTTGGATATTGGTACTTTAAATCTTCAAAGTAAGTTCGATTTTGAACATGCTTGAATTTTTCATATTCAGAATACTTTTTCATTAAATATGTTCATTGCTTTTTCATCCGGATATCAGTACTATTTCATTCATGTTTCATTTCTAGTTTTAGAATTTTGAAATTTTTCATATCATTTTGTTAAATTATCTTTCATGGTTGGGTTGGGTCCTAAAGTGTTTTCTCTCACATATTTCTATACGATTTCATTTATGTGTCATCGCCACTTTACATGTTACATTATTTTTCATGCATTCCCTTTTGCATGTTTTCATTATTATTCCATTCCACAATTCATTTATGTTTCATCTTGGATTTGATATAAGTTTCATCAGGATTTATTACGTTCTCTTTTGCATGTTTTTTATTATTGGTTCATCGTGGTTTCATTAATGTATCATCTCGTATTTCATATAAGTTACATCATTGTATCAACACTTGAATTTAGTCTTATTCAAAACATGTCCAAAATTGATCCTGTTTTAAAGAATTACACATTCTGATCCCAAATCTGCACAAGAATTGTAAATCGGGTCATTGGTTCAAAAGTAACAAGTGTTAAAAAGTGTAGAAGAACACAAAAAGCATGCGCGAATGGACCATGGGGTGAAAGAATAAAATATGTTGAGTGTAATAAAGTATTGCTCCTAAATAGTGGGTGGGCCCAGCAAAAAAGATAAATCACATATGATAAAGAAAATGAATGGAATACTTCGTATGTGACATGTGTATGTGAACACATGGCCCAGTGCAATTGTCTAGCAGGACACCGACAGAAACCGATTCCGTTAGAAAATCATGTCTCTTGTAATAAAATCTTATATATGTGACGGAGGGAACATCAGTCAATGTTGTTCGGGGGTCCAATGCTTGATTCAGTTTTGGGCCAGTTTCATCAAATATTAGTACACGATATTAAGGGTCCAAAGATATGAGCAAGTTGCAAGCATATTCCGATCAGGGGTATTAGAAATTCTACTCTTCCTGATATTTGAGCAAGGGCATTGTGATATTGAACTACCCAAGTACTAATGTGTCTGTTATTTTCCAAATCTACTCTTCCTGATTTCGGTACTATGCATCTCACATTTGACATACACTATGCTCATAGTCTCACAATATTCTCGTCTACTTGTTGCAAAGATGTGTTACTTATGTGCATAGTGCTAGACGAATGTTGTTACGCTGTACTCGATAAAACGCTTCATACGAAGAGATATTTCCATGAAATTTTGACCTGAATCTTTGCATGGTATTCCTATTACATCGTAGATTTCTTTAGTCCTTGAAGTAGAAGTCTGGGTTGGAGATAGAAAATTGTTCCAAGAAGAGCAAACTCCAACACAATAGCTCACCTCTTTAAAAATATAGCGAGGAGCTACTTAGTGATGAGATCACCCTTGGTTTGAAGAGAACACTCAGATTGTTGAACGTCATGAGTCCATCTAAGAAGACCAAACAAGTAGACTACAAACAAAGTTCACATAGTCTTAACGAGTCACACATATTTGTAAATTAAATACATCAAATCCCAAAATATGAATTCTTCCTTCTTCGATTGTTCTTACATTGGATCATCAACGAATGGAGCAGAGACACAGTCACTAGAAGATTATTTAGACTACTTTTCAAAAACTGCCTATTATGCTACGATTGCATTGTTGTGTTGTCAATTAATAAAATTATGCTTTTGTACTAGGTATTGTCATTTGATACAATTATGGTTTTGTATTCGGTGACTAATATGGGGAGTTCAGTCTTGGATGAATTTGGTAGCAAAAAAAGACGATGCAAGATTTTGTTGCTTCTTATGAAAGTCCATCTCAAAAGATCAAGGGAAACACTTATATTCAATAGTGTGATAGGATACCTTTTCCAGACGAGTCATGTGTCGTTGATGCTTTTTTGATCCCACTGCCTATATTTCTAAGCAAACTGCCCAAATTAATCCGGTCCAAGAAAATCTCGCCTGCCCCATTATGCCACGTCCGAGTTAATATCGCTCGCCAGACCCCACCCACGCCACCCGTCTCGCATCCCCGGCGAGCGCAGCTCAAAGATCGCCGACCTCCCTCGTCGTGCTGACTATCTCCGCCACCATCCTACTCCTCCTCAAACTCTGTGACGTCTACAACTGCATCAGGTAGCTAGTGCGAAGACCCGCACCGGTCTGCCTTGTTGAATTCTGCTCTCACCGCCGACAGTGTAGCCCCCATCGCCATCCCCGTTCCCCGCCGGACCCTGCCCCGTCACCATTCGTCCCACTGCGCTGGTGCACCATTTTGGCTCGGCAAAGAGGCTGCACGCGTATCCCAACTGTCGCCCCCCGGTATGTACTCACCTGAACAAGGGTTTGATTCAGTGTCCGTCACTTGATTTGATTTGCGTTACTCTAGACGCAATTCTTGGTTTGATGAATTTCGTTGAGCGTATCTATGTTATATCAAATGTGTAATGGATCACTATTTCATCTATGAATTTTGGCTAATTTCTCCTGCAAATCAAATTATGTGATTCCCAATCTTGGTGGTAATATTAGTTTTTTCATCTGACTTCAAATTTCCATGCTTTCATCCAAGTTTAGAGGTGTTCCCAACTACTATGTCCGTGCTTCTTAGTTTCATAGCTTCTAAATTGATACACAGATTGGTTCTATAGTTTGCTTCCAAATGCCAAAAAAATCAATGAATATGTTGGTGAGTCAAAACATCCATCCCCTTGGTGGCCAAACATTTATTGTTTTGCTTCTAGATTTAATTTTCTATCCTTCAATTTGAACCCATTTGTATATCATATATTCTATGTATCTTTTATATATCATATATATTTTCATCCACTGGCAACTGGAACTTCAAATCTCCCACTGCATTGGAAAACAGTAGTTCAAGATTGAGGTTGGGTAAATCTTTTGAATATAGGCTCCATGTCAACTCCCGATGGTCTGGTACAATGGTTAATAGACAAGATTGATATGGAGCTATGCTTTTTAATTGCAATATATGCTTATGTGAAGTAGAGAGTAGAGAGCTTGCTTCCATTGGGCAAAAAAATGGTGAATTGTTTATGCAGGTGACACAAAATGCATCTCCATGTTGGCTGCAATCTTAGTTTGTTTCCATTTCCAGTGTTCTATGACTCCACTTTGATACCAACAAAAATTTGTTTTACAGTATTCATGCTTCCTAGGTCTCATTTATGTGCTTCTTATGTATCGAACGATTGCGCCACTACAGTAGTGCTTCTTAATTTAGTATTTTTTGTTTCTAGTGCATCATAGCCTTCTGAATGTAAATTAGATCACAACATGTGTGTGTTCATCCCATCCCCCGCACCGCATCTCACTTTGTATGTAAGTTTGCGCTTTTGTTATTTCATTCTATATGATTTCATGGTGCTTCAAGTATATACTTTCATGCTTCCTATCCTAACAATATTAAGACAGAAAGATTTTCAAGCCATTTTCTACTTCATGTAGTTATGAGTTTGCATACTATTTATTATTGCTTCAATGCCAGTTTTTATACATCAGACACACATGTTTTCCTTAGTTATTTATCAAACATACCTTTGCTTCTATGCTTCCAACCAAACCTGTTATTGCTTCAAACAGAGTCATCTTTTTTGCTTGAAGCCATTTGCTGGTGATTTGGTTGATGTGTTTGTGAGCTTATGCATGCAACTATTTTTTACTGGTGTAGATAGTGGACTGCTTCTTATGCTCCAGATGGAGGCTATGTTTGGTGGTATGCAGCAGCTGAAGGGCATGTCAAAGCATGCTTTCTGGACATCATCAGAGCGACGAAGCCTACAATTGTTGTGTGTGTGGGGGGGGGGGGTGACGAAAGACAAATAGAAGTTCTGAGAGATGTTATTACTTGAATGGGTTAGGCACACACTATGTAATTTCTAGTTCTCTGGATGCATAATTTTTAATTTTTTATCTAATAGAAAGTACCATTTTTGTTGTCCCTGAAACAAATTTATGTTAGATATATATTGTGCATACCATCAAAAGAAAGCACGAGCATCATACGAAGGACACATGCCACCATTGGATCATTTGTCTGCATTATGCTAGATGGCACAAAAGCTTACCTTATATGCCATGTTTCATTTTATGGAAGCAAACTCAGATTCTTTTTTTTTGAGGAATTAGTGACAGTGGGAGAGGCTCCCACTGACTTTGTATTACTCACAATAGAACAGTTACATTTGTGTTACATAGGGTTATTAGGCCCCCCGGCCATGATTGATACAAAGCTAGCTGCCCAAACTAACAATGAAATCAGAGAGGAAAGGATGAACCTTCTCAGGACAGTTGTGGGTCACCAAACCCAACAAATGTTTAAATCTAGCTAACCATGCCCCAAACGAGTGTGGGATCCTCCTGAAATGTTGGTTGTTCCTTTCCATCCATAGGCTCCAAGCAGCAAGCAAGAAGATGTCCATGAAAAGCGGCCGACGCCTATCATCTCTACCACCATGCAAAATGGCAAGCCTGTTGGTCCCCCCTGGCCACATCAGACCAATCCTACTCCAGCGTTGTTGGGCAAAAGGGCACGTGAAGAAGAGATGTTCCACGGTTTCCTCGGGTGGGTTTTGGCAGAGCATACAAGTATAGTCGCTCCCATCCACATTATAGTGCCGCCGCTTCAGCATATTCCTGGTGTTCAACCGATCTACCATAAGCAGCCACCCAAACATCTTGAACTTGATCGGGCATTTGGCTTTCCATAGCCATCCAAAGGCCTCATCAGCCATTACCTGCCTGAAGCAGTGGATATAGTATTTCTTAGACGAGTATCGTCCCAGGTCACAGACCCAAGTATCAACCGATTCACTGTCCAGACCGACGTGTGCGGACCCTTGCTGTATCTCTCTGATCTCTTCCCTGGCCTGGATCGAAAGAGGCGGACTGAAGATCGAGGCAGGATCGGTGGATTTGAGGATCTTGGCAACAGAATCATCCTCATTCAGGGCATATGAGAATGCCCGCGGATGCGTATCCATTAATGTGGAGGCTGGGTCTCCAAACCAGACATCCTTCCAGAAAAGTGAGGTGCGACCATCTCCGGGGACCACCCTGGTGATCCCACGGAAGATTCCACTGAGCTGCATTACATCTTTCCACCAGAAGGAACCCACTGGCTCGGCGGTGTGCGGCACCTTGTTCGGGTAGTGCGTTTCCCAGATCAGCTGAACCCAGGGTACATCTTCACGATTGTAGAATTTGAACAAGTATTTTAGGAGAAGCGCGGTATTTTGTATTCTGACATTAATAACACCAAGGCCACCACACCGTTTCGGTCGACAGACAAGCTCCCATGCAGCAAGGGAGTTGGATTTGATCCCATCATCAGAATTTTTTGCCCATAGACAATAGCGGCGGAGTTTGTCCAGGTGTTCAACTATTTTTGGGTGTAGCTTGATCGTACACATTGCATATATCAACATGGAGGTGACCACCGAATTGACCAACGTTAGTTTGGCCCCTGACGACATCAGTGATAGGGCAGTGGAGGTTTTCCTCTCAACCGAATGGACTAATGGCATGAGATCAAGAACAGTCGGCCTCGTTGTCCCCATGGGAAGACCAAGGTATGTAAACGGCAGGGAACCAACCGAGCAACCAAACACTTCCGCCAACCCCCCGGCACGCTGGTGATCAACGTTGATGGGTATGAGGGTCGATTTATGGAAGTTAATTTTGAGCCCAACCGAAGCCGCATAATCCTCCAAGATAAGTTTCATGCGGGTTGCCTGTGTAGGACAAGCTTGCATAACCAAGATCGTGTCGTCAGCATACTGCACCACCGGGAAGTCACCTGCATTTCCACGTGGAATGGGTAGCTCTAGCAATCCCTGAGCATAAGCATCATTGATCGCAGCTTGTAGCAGATCAGCAGCAAGAACAAAGATTAGTGGCGAGAGAGGGTCACCCTGTCGTACTCCACATTTGCATTTGAATTTCCGGCCAGGAACGCCATTCAAGAGGACTGACGAAACTCCCGAGCCAAAAATCAGTTCCATCCAGCCCAGCCACCTATCATCAAAACCCATATGCTTCATGATTTCCAACATGGGGGCATGCTCGATCGTGTCAAAGGCCTTAGCAAAGTCCAGTTTGAGCAATATGATCTCTCTCCCAGACGAGTGGCACTGATGAATGTATTCGCACGACCACGCGAGACAATCCTGGATGGTCCTACCTTTGATAAACCCATACTGATTCCTGTGAATAATTTTTAGAATCACTTTCTGCAGTCGGTTCGCCAGGATCTTTGTAATGACTTTTAGACAACAGTTCAGTAAGGTGATTGGTCTGAAGTCATTAGCCGTCTCCGGAGAGGAATTTTTGGGAATCAAGGTGATGTAACCCTCACTTATGCTAGTGATATCCAGACCACCTGCATGAAATGCGTGACAGAGATCATAGAAATCTGTCTTGATAATTTGCCAGCACTTCTTAAGGAAACAGCCATTAAACCCATCCGGGCCAGGTGCTCTGTCATTTGGCATTTCCTTAATCACAGCATCTATTTCATCATTAGAGAATGGCGCGCTCAGCTGGTCCAATCCATCAATCCTGCGAATGATCCTAGAAAGATCAAATTTCATGTTGGTAGGTTTAGAAAAACCCAAACGGTCCCTGTATGTATTGAACAGTACCCCCTCCTTGCCAACATGGTCATGTATATCGACCTCCCCAACTCTGAGCAGGGCAATAGTGTTGTGTCTGTACCTCTCTGTGGCCAAAGACTGAAAGAGCTTTGTGTTTTCATCGGCAAAACGAAAGTACCTGATCGTACACCTCTTTCGCCAGTACTCATTTTGGTATTTGAGCAAGGCCTGTAGATGGTTTTTCAGTATCTTCCTGAAGTTTGATTCCTGAACATATAGGGGTCGTCTGTCCTCAAGTGCATCCATGTTTGCTAGAGTCTCATTACTGATTTGAATCAGAACTTTAAGTTTGGAGACACCCTTACTCCAACGCTTGAGATCATATCTCAGATTTTTGAGCTTTTTGCAAATTCGCGCCGCCGCATTGGGTGCGTGACATGGTTTAGACCATGAACCAGCAACAACCTCCATGAACCCCTCATGATCTGTCCAAAAGTTCTCAAACCGAAAAAGCCTGGACCGTGGGATGCTTGATTCAATCGTGACCACACACGGAATGTGGTCAGACACTGGCTTCCCCAGGGGCAAGACCATTGTGTTAGGGTATTTGGTGGTCCAATCAGACGACGTGAAAAACCAATCTAATTGTTCAAGCAGAGGATCATCTTGCATGTTACTCCATGTGTATGCACGGCCTTTAACTGGTAGTTCCATTAGTGATTGTGCGCGGATGATCTCATTGACTGAGATTCTTATGGATGCATATTTTATTTCTTTGGAAACAGAATTCCAATTTGTTTCAAGCGAACACTATATTAGAAATATTTTGGTACTACATTTTTCATGCTTCAACCACCATAGGTGTTTCAAATTACAGCCATACATGCTTCTTACCACAAAACGAATCAAGATACTGCTTTGGAAAAATGTGACAAAATTAAGAAGCATGGCCTGTAGTGTTGGAAGCATGTTTTATGTTTATCATGTCATTCAATCAAGTATCAAATGGAAGGAAGCATCATATGTACGCTATATGGAAGCAACATGAATAAAGGAAAAAAAAATTAGAAATTTCCAAGGCACTTATCATACGTGATTAGAGACCTCCTATATGGAAGCAACGTCTATGCATGAAAAGTTTGTTTTAGAAAATTGTCATGGTAGTGGGAGCTGTTGAAGGGATGCATCCAAAACAACCTCTATCAAACTTTAATCATCCAAGATTTGTTTCCTAGGGAAGCAGGTAGCCCGACGTGAAAAGCAGGAATGGAGACTCACGTAATTTATGGAAGTAGTTGTTACAGAAAGATATGCTTCCGAGAGAACCATGCAACAAGGGAGAGAGCGTCGTTTGTGGAAGCAGTTAGGAAGCAGCGAGAAATTAGCGATCAGAAGCATTTAATCTATCGCATGGAATAATTATCAGATCGGACGTACGACCTGCTTTTGATCCAATGACATACGACTAGTCTGATAGATGTAAACTATTAGTAGTCTGATGCTTAGCGGTGCCCAAAGATCAATAAGATGGGGAAGGGTGTATCCTTTCTTACGAAGGTGCAAGTGGTGGTGTTGTTCTATTGCTTTGAAGTAACAAATGTACTCTTGGATAGAAGAGTCATTTTGCTTTACTAAGGTATGGATGGATAATGAGATTTTTTTTTCTACTTGTTAGGACCGAGTGTATATTGACTAGAGGGTGGTGAATGAGAGATTCAAAATTTCTTTCAAAACTTTGAATCAAAACCAATCACAACAACGAAATAAAAGATATAGACAGAGCACCAAGTGAAACAGATTGAAGACACGGCTGAAAGATACAAGGAGAAAGACTAAGAAATCTTCCAAGGAAAGATATGATGGTCTTTTGGGTATAGTAGCATAAGACTTTCGCTATGACAATGGTGGCACATAATCAAATCAAGATGAACAACATGGATGACCAAAGAAGAACAGAGGACAGAAGATCTACACTTCTGATTTAGCAAGGAGATATAAAGATGAACTAGACTGACGAATAACAAGCTAGTAGCGAGAGGATGTGAGAGTGAATGAACATACACACACGACAATGGAAACCAATAGAGATACGTAACGAACAAAATATAGATACATAAACTTGACCAGGGAAACCAATCAGTACACATGCAATGAAGATAAACTATTGAAAGTATTGCAGTAGAGTAGAATGAACCAGTGATGCTTGATGGAGACAGATGATTTGGTAGACCAGTCCACTCTTCTGCAAAATAACTACGTCTGGTTGGAGCGACTTGTGATTGAACACAGGATCAAACCTCTCTTCGTCCTATTCTCCTTCAAATGGAAGCTGGTCAGACTTTACTTGAATTCACTCGGGGTAGATACTTTCGGCTATCTCCAAACCTTCAACAAACTTTTTCGCAAACAACAATTACTCGTTGGTTCTTGAATACTTTGCTTGGTGAAGATAATTACTCTTCGACATTCAAGCCGACATCTATCCTTCTAGAGAGGGTGCGGCTCTCAAGAGTAATAGGTACAAGAGCTCCAACTTAGATCTATTGAGATGCTCAACGGTTGTCTAAGTTTCGGCTCTTGATTGTCTCTTAGTGGATATTAAACTCAAATCTCTCGAGAGGGGTGCTCAATCAATCTTCTCAGAATCTCAAGTGGAGTAGCCAACAAAAAACGTTGTAGCGGGGTGGCTATTTGTAGCCACGGCCTTCCCAGATAAGAAATGACCATTTAGGACAAGAACTCCAAACAATGGCCAACTAACACGTTTCCAACAGTTGGAATTTTGAGCACAACGGTAATTAACATTGCTTGCAGAACAAGTAATGCTAACTCCTCGATCCGAAGGATATCTCTTGCAGCACAGAAGAACATCGTCTCTGGCTGGCAAGTAATCATTCAAATCTCAAAGAGATTTCTCTTAGTCATTTATAGGTTACGCTAAGCATCACAACAGACCTAGGCATCGAGAATATATACCCCTCTTAATAGTACGGTGGTCCTATGACTCAAATAAGAGAAAGAAGAAGAACGAAACAAATGCTACGGCTTCGCTTCGCATTCAATCTTCTAGACTGTAGTCATTCTTCTTCTGACACACCGAATGAAAATTTCTTTGCATTAGCAATAATTTTTAAGATGTCAATTCCTTCACACAATCATCTCGGTACTCTCTTTACTCGAAATGTATCTCTTCCTTCTCTGTGACGCGGATGATCTTTGATGAAGTTCTTCAAACTTCAAGGCAAAATGTAGCATTCTTCTCAGAACTCCATGGACTATTTCTCTCTGTGCGCACTAGTAAACAAATAAGTCCATGAATGTTTCTGGCATCAATCTCCAAAACACAAGGGGGCAAGATGTTGCACCAACACTGCTACTTTTTTTTACTACCATTACATCTTAATTAAGAAGGTTCCCATCAACAAGAAGATTTTGGGATGGTACACTAATTAGATTTTTTTTTTTCCTTTAGCCATAATCAGTTGTTTTGTATTTATGTGATGTCTTAACTCTTGTGCAGCATTTTTTGGAATTTTACATCATTCTCTTATAGTGTCATACAAGCTTTAGTGGGAGATTTAATATAGCATTGGTTAAGGAAATTATAGCAAGAGAACTAAACATTTCAGTTTTTATCAAAGTATTGTAGTAGTGATATCATCCAAGTCTAGGGATTTTGGTCCCAAATGATTTATATGTTTTTTAATTCCGTAAATATTTGGTGGATTCTAGTATGAATGGAACTACAATTCCAAACAAACGGTGACTATGTTCTAAAGTTGTATTTGATCACATATTGAACCCTTAATCATCTATATTTGCCACTAATTCTTCTATAATTGTTTGTTCTATTTTGCACAGATTCTCAGTCGTACTTCTCGTGTTAATCAATTCCTCTATCAAAAGGAAGGTGTCAAGACTGGAGACTGTTTAGATGTGCTATGACTCTTTTTTCGTTATTAGCTTGTGGCATAGAAAAAGTTGGTGCCCTTGGCGTTTTAGTATAAACATATAATGAATGGCTCGTGGCTTTAAAAGCAAGAGTGGGTGATTGGATGACTAAACAACTCTAAAAACATGCTAATTGCATATTTGTTGAAGTGATTTTCCCTTTTCCTGTCTTATGGATGTTTTCCTGTTGTGTTTAAATAACCCCATCATCCTTTTTAAGTTGTCAGAATCACAAATATTTCTTTATGAAATCACTTTCATTTATCCCTGGTTTAAAACTCTTTATTTTGTCTTTAGCTTTATCAACCATATTCTTAGATTCTCGAACACATCATCAGATTGATTTTCTCATCCGGTAAAAATATTTCGCATATGTGTTATTTTTTCATATTTAATTTCTATTGTTTGGAAATAATTTTAGCACTATTAAACTCTTCATGTTTTCTCTTGGATAGGTGGACATTTATTCTGATAAACATTAACACATTTTTTGTGGTACATGAACATCTTTTCTGGATTTTGATACCAAATATTGGTTTTTAGAAACATTTTTTGGTGATTTATAAAAAACACAAATTGTAACAAATCTAGTAATTGACATGGATAAATTGGAAAAACAATTATGTGGTTTTCCTTTCTTATAAACGTGAAGCGTTAAAAGCGTCGTTTTATTTCATTTTCTTAATTATCTACTTTTTAAAATACATGCATTTTTGTTAAAAAAAATAAGTATATGCACTAAATGGGACTGAGTTATGGTAACCCATTTTTTGCAGCGCTTCAGACGGCTCTCCAATTAGCCTGGGTGAGCTCGCCAAACGGATTCGCAAATATATCTGTTTAGGCGCGGCCCAACAATTTTTGTGTGTGCTATTTTCACATATATTATTTGAAAAATTATGATTACATCTTATATGCAGTTTAAATGTTAAAGTGAAAACATTCACATGTTGGAAAACTGTTCACACATATATAAAAATATTGGGAAATTATTTATGTAATTTTAGAAATTGCTCAGTTTTAATCAATGTTTTAGAAAGCGTTGAAGTATTCTTTTTTTGTTCCGTAGCACACGTTCCCCTACAGCGAACGTCCGGAGTGCGCAACTCCAAATTTTTCTTCCATGGGACTGGCACTCGTGGCCAGGAACATTTCGGGAAAACTTCTTTTTCTGCATGTATGCAGTACGGACTGTGAATCCAAACAAGGAACAGGAAGTGTATAAACATACACTAATAGTAACAAGAAAAACCCACTTTTAAAAAAATCACACAAACTCGTTTTTTCTTAAAATCTCGCATCAAATTCTCCATACACAAACAACCACATAGTAATCTTAGATTCATCGTGCTAAAAACAAACCCCTAATATTGATCACCCGGCCCGATTAACGAGTAAAGCCCCATCCTGAAGTCGTCCTCGTTTTCCTCGAGGTAAAACGTGAATTCCTCGATTTCTGCGGCCATTTGCTTGCTGCACGGGCACGGGTGGAGTTTGTAGACTCTGGCGAAGCGCTTCTTCCACTCGTTGTCCGGGTCGTAGCAGTGCAGTCTGCCCGCCCGCCGGTACTCCTCCACCACCTCCTCCTCCTCCATGTCGATGTAGCGCGTGGCTTCCGCGTTCGCCGCCTTGCCGAACGCTACCAGCGCCCGCAGCCGGGCCAGCTTCTGCGCGTTTGTCTCCGGCGGCATCGCCTTGCGCTGCTGCTCTTTTCCGTCACCCGCACAAGCGACGGCGGTCCTTTTAGCTGCGTTCGAGCGGGCTCCTTTCCCCATGATTGCCTCTGAAGGATTTTAGGAAGCGTTCTCTACATCTCTGGAGAGAGACCGCGTACGTATATGTTGATCGAGGCCAAAGCCTGATCGAGCCGTGTACGTGCTGGATTACATCAGCGATTCGGTTTATAACTTAACAAACCGTGTACGATTCTGGAAGACTCTGGTTGGTAGGCAGTGGCGAGCTGCAGCGAGCTTTAAGCCCTTTTGCTTCTTCTTTTTTTCATATATATACTCCGAATCTATTTATGTCTTATATTCAGTTTAGAAATTAAAGCGGAAGTATTCACATGTTCAATAGCTGTTCACGCACATATAAAGCTGTTTATATAATTTTAGAAGTTGCTCATTTTTTATTAATATTTAGAAAGCGTTCAATATTTGCATTAAGTTTTTTTTTAGAAAAATATTTGCATTAAGTATGTGTGAGTTCACCCGCAAAAAAATAGTACTCCTATGTGTGAGTATAATGGGCCAAGATGAGAGCGGGGACCAAGGGCCGAAGCCTGCTACAAGCCGGGACCCTGCCTTAGCGAGAGCCCGTATCCGACTACCAACCGCGCCGCGCCGCGGCGACACTTCCAGAAATCACCGCAAGAATCCGCGCCAGCACCAGCACTAGCAGCAGAGCCAAAGCAACCAGAGTGTTCGCCGTTGTTCCTCTCTCTCCCCGATCGTACCAGCTGCGTACGAGCATCCAAGAAGAATCGAAGGTGATGCCTACGCCGCCGCTCCGGACCGTGCACCTGCGCCGGTCTCCCTCGCCGCCCGACGCCGCGCCAGAGTCGGCGGCCATCGCGGTCGACGGAGGCGGCGGGGTGGACCTCGCCTTGGCGGGCCGCGCGCTGGGGCTTGACCCCGCCAGCGTCCGCCTCAACAGCTACTTCATCAGCCGCGGCCCCGACCACGTCTCCACGGCGGTCACCTGGGGCGCGCTCCTCGCCTTCTTCGCCGCGCGCGGGCTGCCCACCGGCGCCGACCCCGCCGCGCCCGTCGCCGTCCGCGGCAGGCCCGCGCCTTCGCCACCACGCTCAGGTGCGCCTCTCTTCTTATAGTACTACTACTATTCAATGATTCTTGCGGTGCTGCCGTGTTCTTGAGGAACCCCGGTTCATGATTCATGGCACTACTTGAGATAAAGAGCAGGATGGAAGATACATGTTCGCTTTGTGACATTTAATCTGTCCATTGCGGCTGTGGAAGTACATCGTGCGACCTGTTGATCTCTGATTCTCTATATATGTTGTTCAGGTTCCAAAGCTTGATTGAGTTTTGAGCCAGTTTCATCAAATATTAGCAGTAGTACACGATAATGAGGGTCCAGAGATATAGTAGCACCTTATTTGAGCAAGTTGGAAGCATATCAGATCAGGGGTATTAGAAACTGTACTCTTCCTGATATTCTAGCAAGGGCATTTGAGATACTATTGAACTGCCCTAATGCAGTCTGCTATTTTCCAACTCAACTCTACTCCTACTGATTTCGGTACTATGCGTCTGATATTTGGCATCTGTGGGCTATACGGAGTTTCCAACACTTGTGGCAAAGCTGCGTTACATAGTATGTGCATAGTGCTAGACAAATGTTGTTATGCTGCACTCGATAAAAAAGCTTAATGCAAAGAGATATTCTGACATAATTTTAATCTGAATCTGCGCATGATATTTCTGTTAGATCCTAGAGTTCTTCAGTCCTCGAAGCGTAAGTCTGGGTTGGAGACAGAAAATTGTTCCAAGAAGAGCAAGCTCCAACACAACAGCTCGGCTCTTTCAAAATCTAGTGAGGAGCTACTTAGTGATGAGATCACCCTTGGTTTGAAGAGAAGACTCAGGTTGGACGATATGACTCCATGTAAGAGGATCAAACAAGTAGACTACAACTCAGGTGAGTTATAACAGCCGAAGTTCAGTCTCTTAACTTGATCATTCATATTCGTAAATTGAATACATCATATCCTGAAATCTGAACTCTTCCTTATTTGGTTGTTCTTGCATTGGATGATCAACCAATTGAGCAGAAACACAGCAGCCAGTCAAATTCTCCTGCAGCTTCATCAACGGGCATGGAAAGCGGGCACGAGATGAGGAGATGGTCACCTCACTCCCATGCAAGAGAGTCCGGTGATATGCCGAATCTATCCTGCAGACTGAGACTTTTGTGTCACAAGTCTTGGTTACTCGAAACAACTCGCAGAGCTAAGATTATGTGAACTGACATGGATAAGGCTTAAAGCTATGTGTAGATGTGTAGATTGGTCTGGAGCCATAGTTTCAGGTTTGTATCAAGTGCCAGTTGCAACCGTTGTAAGATTTAGTATTTCTTGTTTACATTGGTGTGTTTGTATGATGCCAGAAAATCTGCTAATGGTGGTCCAAGATGATATAATCGGTGCAAAATGATGTAATCTGCTAATGGTGGTCAAATCAGTAACCAGTGCATTTGCCTCCTTCCCAAAATATGTCATGTTGGTCTTGTTGAGCAATTTCATAGAAAAAGCTATCAACAGCTACAATACCAGTATCAATACATACATCATGAAAAATCTTTACATAGTGTATTTATTTAGCATAGTAGATATTGATATCTTTCTATAAACTTGGTCGACTTTTTAAAATGAGTTGAGATAAAATTAATATTCCTAATATTTTTGGAAGGAGTTTTTATAATCAAAACAGAAATGTATTTCTCAAGTACTACATCAACTGCTGCATCTTTATGAGATCAACTCAAAGATTCAGCAGTACTCCCTCCATAACATAATACAAGACGTTTTTTTACACTATGACTGTGTCAAAAAAGGTCTTATATTATGTTACGGAGTATTTCACTACAGTTATTAATAGCCGATAATTCTTATTAAATTATAATATCTGGGGTTAACAATTGTGTACATGAGTGGGAGAAAAAAAAAGACAAACTATATGCAAATGAGAGAAAATAAATGCCTAGTATGTTCAGCAGAACACATAATTGTGCATACTTTTGAGCTTTGCATCTAAAATAGTTGAGGATCATACATACAAGCATACAGCTAAAACAATGGCAGCATAAACATTTTAGCCGTAAGCGGTCAACAGTAGAGGAACTACATCTCTTGATATTGACAGTGATGAGCAAAAAGATTGCACAACTGAGGCAAGAAAAGCGCCATTCCAGGAGAAAGATTAGAAGAGCATAACTACAATAAAGGTGGTAGTCAACTGGTCTGCACTCTTAACAAGTGAGGCAAGAAAAGCATCATTCCAGGAGAAAGATTAAACAAACATAACTACGACACAGGTGGCAGTTAACCGGTCTGCACTCTTAACACTATACTGTGACCTTGCACCTTGAAAACAAAAATATATACGGCAAACTGAAGCATTGATACCTGACATATGAGTGCAAGGTCACAAGTTCACTACAACGAAGAAGCTTGCACCGCCTGACTGCAAGCATTGATACCTTCAAGGCTTCAACTATTCTTCCTGTATGGTTCAACAATGCCATCAACCCCATCCAAAGTCTCCTTCTCCAAAGATAAAATTCTGAGGCAAACATCAAATTCAACATATCTTACTCCTCCAGAAGTCCAAAAGGTTTATTTCTTCGTCACCAACAAAGAAGGATTTTATCTCTTCAGAAAAATGGTCCCTCCAGTCAGAGAGAGAAGCAAATGGAAGTAAGCCAGTCAAGACCGGGATAACAAGCCCCAGCGCAGCATAAAATATGCACCGGCGAACCCAGTACGGCAACCCCACACCATTCTTGCTGTGAGTTATTGATATGGGACCATGAAGAACATGGTACATAACAGATGGATAACAGTTTCCGAGTAAATGGCTGGAACAAAGGACTTCCCACCATACAAGCCAGATATTTCCATCACCGCCTAGAGTGTTGGCACAAAACCTTCCAGCAAAGCCACAAATTACTCCCAACAAAATGAAATTGAAAGTTATAGGCATATTTGATCCAGTCAGTGCAGAACGCTGGGATGCTAACCAAGCAATTGCCACAATCATTACTATGCCAAAGCACATACGTGTTGCTGCTATCACATGACATCTGACGAACTGCAAGCCAGAATTGAAGTTTGACACTGAATTTGGCACCCACCAAGATTTAGATCCCTGTATGAGGTGGGAAAAGAGAAAGTGAGAAGCTTCTGATTAACAATGAAACTTATCAAGAGTAATTTTGAGCGATAAGGTACATGAACGTACCCTTGAAGCAGCTGAACAAGCTGCTGTAACATCAGTTATCCGTTGGTACGAGTGAACATAAGTTCCATAAGCAAAACACACTGACATAATTACCACTGCACTAACAAGGAAATCTATAAGAGTCCTCAGGATTTCTGCGTGCCTTGAGTCCTGCATCTGAGTCTTGAATTTCTCCCCTTGGAAGGAAGCTTTCTGAAAACCCAACGACAACTTAATCTTCTCTAACATGTGCGAGGAGGAGCTAAGAGCTAATTCAGACTGTTTCAGCTGCAGCTTTCTCATGCTAAGACTAATCTCACATTCCTTGAGCTCGTTCGAGCGAGCCTGCTCCTTCACAGATCTCTCAAAAGCACTGAGAATGCACCGATCAGCCTCACGAGAGGATCTGCTATGAGGACGATCAGCCAGCTGTCGATTGTCTCTGGCATAAAGAACAACTTGACTTTCTACAGAGTTCATGAGGTCCTGCTCGATTTCTTTTGTATGATTTTGCAGATCAGCAGCGCTCGAGTTTTCTACAGCCCCAGAGCCTCCATGCGTAGAAGAGTATTCAGGAGTAGGACTTCTCTCATAGACAGGTATCTCATTAATACGATGAAGCGTCCTCAATGTGCTGCTAAATGAATTCTCAAAATTTCTCATGAAACTGTCAAACCTGTCACCATATGTCTATACAACTGATAAGTAAAAGATATACAAGGAATGTCAGCAGAAAAGTGAGCTCCAAGAAAAAGAGAACCATGCTTACATTTGCCAAAGATTCCTTCACTGCTGAGGTACAGATCTGCATTTTGAATCCAGCTCGATTTGAGTCATTGAGACACCCTTTTTTTTAATGGTTTACAGAACTTATCGCTAAATTAGAAATCATGTACCTTGGAAAGGATGACAGGATGCAATCTTTCTCCTGAATCATTGGTTGAATTTATAACCTGTAATCAAGGAAGGTACCTCCTTATTACTCTGACCAATAAGGTAGACCATTTAACAAAATGATCATGAAACGCAAATGTGTAGTGGTACGCAGGTGAGTACAATGTATCGTTTACTAAAGAGAACAAGTGTGCAGTTGTGGGATGAAAACACGATGAATGACATGCATAAGTTGAATGATTGATAAGCGAGGTGGAGGACAGAAAGGCTATCAAATTCAACAGTTCAATTTTAGAGCATTTAGCGTTCACCACAGATATGGAAATTAATAAAAACTCGAATCTTGGAACCAATAGCAGATGTTGCACTAAATTGACAAGCTGTCCTCAACCGGACAAGCAGCCATGGTTCGCCAACATTATACCCCATGCTATTTCATCTTTAATTCTACAAGTAAACAGTCCATTTCCCTTTATTTTTTTGCTGCAGTTTGCAGAAGGAAGTTCTCCTTCCAATAGGCACATTAAACTTTTGTTCCATGAAACTATCCTTAACGGTGCAAACATTTCTTCAGGTTTCTATGTTGACTAGGAGGTTTTACAGCATATGCACTGGTGCAGTACAATTACAAATGTGCAAACCTCAAAACCAAAAGATGATGATACTAGGAACTTATCAGGTGTGTGTAAAGGCACCATATAAGTAGTTTTAAAGAAATGCTACAAATGCTGGACTCGCGCAACCATGTAGTATACCAAGCAAAAATCGAAACTTTAATGTGTACCACGGCCCGGCAGAGCACGTACCCGCGCGAGAACGGCCGCGAATGACATCCCCAGTGGCAGCGCGAGGTCTTCCTGCGCGGCGCCGCCGCCATTATCTTCGCGTTCGCCGTCGCCGCCCCGAGAAGCCAGTGCGGCGGGCGGAGCCGCACCCCCTTGCGCGGCCGGGAGGCCCGCGAGCCGGAAGAGGATGCCGACGAGGACGCGGGGGCGGGCTCGCCGGCGAGGCCGGGCCCGTCGTCCATCCCGGAGGGGAGAGGGGGTCCCGGGAAGCCGGTAGTAGTCAAATGGGGTTCCGCGATCTGGATGGAGATGGATGGGGAACGGCCGACAAGAACGAAAACGAAGCGGCGTGGGAGTAAACAAAACAAAACGGATATATATGCGTGGCGGTTGGGCTGAATTAGCCGTTGGATTTTCTCCATCTCCACTACTATTAATCTCCACTACTATTAAACAATCCAACAAGAACTTTCTTAAGTGCACCCCATAATTACCCCCAGTACATCGGACGACTCATTCACCACCGCACGATTAGCCCCATAAATCTGAATCTAACAGCCATCGTTGATCTAATACCTCTATGGTGTGCACGTAGCAATTTCCATTGGCTGATCGTGCTTCACCTGCAGAGAATATTCCACCTACGCGTCCGACGTTCCTACAATCACGCAAATGTAATCGCTAACTTCCCCGTGATTGCATCTCTTCTAGCCCTTGCCTCCCCGCACCTATCGCCACCGCCCCTCGCTAAAATAAAACCCACACGCCGGACGGGCGACGGCGCATGACCCTCCTCCCTCGAGCAGCGGCAGCGGAGCGGGGCGCAGGGGCTCAGCCTATGTCGACGGGCGGCGTGGTCCCTCTCCTCCATCGAGTAGCAGCAGCGGCAGCGGCACAGGACGCAGCGGGCTCGGCCTTCGTCGTCGGCGGCGGGGTCCCTCTCCTTCCTCGACCATCGGCGGCAGCACCGACTGCAACAGGCGTCCAGGGACACGGCGCTGCTGGCAAGGCACGGCAGCGAAGCTGAGGGAGCCGGCCCTTGTGGCACGGGGGCGCGACGGCGCCATGGCGGCTGTGGGGTGGAGGGCGCGTGCGTGAAGGCGGCGCGTTCCTTTGGCTTCCGGCATGCCGCGACATGGACTTCCCTGCTGTCGTCGTGCTCCCTAATGCCAGCTCCTCCTTCCTCCCGCCGCGGGACATGCACAACACCAATCCAATCCATGCCCTCTGCCCGCTGGCCAGAGAAAGGTTAGTAGTTTCATTCTTTTCTTCCTTGAAGCCGAGAGAAGATTAATAAATTGTCTCGCCCACTATACCATACGGTGGAATAAGCTGGGATTCTTGCGTTAGCGCATAAGCATTTTTTTTGTTGATTCGTGCCTCAGATCTAGCATAAATAGGATAATCCAAAAAAACCTTCCCACCAAGTGTTTGTTTTTATGCTCACAAAGTTTTTCATTCTCTTTTTTGATGGTCTAAACATTCCAATCGGGGAGAAATCTATTAATGCCCTGAGTTCATTGATTCTATGCAGCTATAATGTTGAATGAATCAACCAAAAAGTTATGGCCCAGAGCCCTAGACAAACAAAAAGTTATGCAGGGAAATCACCTAAATCAACAGCAGCCATGGGTTGTTCAGATGGGGTGTGCGGCCTCAATCCCTTGCAAACACGCAGCTGGTAGATGGCCAAGAGCGGGGCAGGTAAGGAAATGCATGTTTACGCTTTAGAATGCATGCTTTCCAGGATAGAAATGGACTCTACAGCAATACCAGTGATACATGCTGAAAATTTTCTGAGAATATAGAAACCCAGGAAGCAACAAACTACACTGCAAAATTTAAGAATAGGTGCAAGACAAGGAATAATTGATCCAGTGTGAAAAATAAATAGTCAATTATACTGTTCTCACGTAGATATGTAAATTCTATCCAATTTTTTTGTTCACAAGCAAAGAAGTATATTATTAGTGTTAGGAAAATGTAATGGGTGCATGGGAAACAATAATTTCTACTTCAAACATGTTAGTTACAGCACAAACAATTGTTGCATTACGAAAAACAAAATGTATGGTATATGAAGCAAATAAATATTCATAACAGCACGGTTGTATATTGGAAAGAGCAACTTGCAAGACTAAACAGATTCCTTACAATTACAAGGAGAGTAATGGGGCCAGTCTAAGCTATTAGGAACGCATACAGAAGAGGCATAATCTGCAATTTCACTTTGACAACAAGGATATAACTAAATGTTGTGCTTCAGAAAAACAGTCAGAAAAGGACAAGAATTTATATCATTGTCAATAGGTATATGGAAGTTGGATGTGCACGGATTTGGTGAACATGACCTCGATCTGCACGAATCCGATGACGGTGACCTCGATCTGCATGAATCCGGCTTTGACAAGTTGGATCTATGGAAGGGACGATCATGGCAACGACGCCATCGCTACAGATCGACACGCATGAACGCATGATGCGGGACAGGGTATCCATCTGTTGTATCTAGATATCAGAACACTTCCTTGACTGAATGTAAAAGTGTTAGGACAAAAAATGCATCATTCTTCAGTCTTTTAGTTCTGAGATTTTAGTTATATATCAGTCTTCAGACCCTCTTGTTTTTTTTCTCTTGGTCAATCAATGTTTGTAGTCATATTTCCTCAAAAAAATCTGTCCTTACTGTATTCTTTCTTCAGTCTATTTGTTTTTTTTCAATGATATGATCTTATTCCATAAATTGTAGGCATTGGTGAGAAATATGGACGATGCACGCGAACGAATTGGCACTGCCATCTCCACTGCACTGAAGGAGATCAAGCCCATTTCCATCAGCATCACCTAGAACCTCCCCTCGACCTGCATCCTTTCCTTTCTTTTTTATCTTCCCAAGGTAAGTTGGCATGCTCCCTGTTCCTGCTTAAGGACGGTGAGATGGATATGGGTTTGGTATTACTGTTGTTGATGAACTGCTCATTTGCCAGACTGTCAAACCAGATGAGCCTGAAAAGAACTAAGAGAAATGACTATTCATTTACCAATCTTGTCATTCTCTGTATTGTCAATTTGCCAGTTCGACTGATGCTTGAATGTATTAGTAGACAAAATGACATGTTTGTTGATCAGCTATGCTATGTGTTTCCATTGGCTACTTGCCGCTTTCTAAGGGGCAGATTTTAGCTTGACAAGATTTTTGCGAAAACATAGCAGTGCTCTTGCTCCAATGAAAATTCAGAGTAGGGTGTTCCAAACTAGATTGATACACATAGGAATTTCTGACTGTTTTTTATGCTGAGAGCTACATACATGCTCGCAGCGCTTCGCCTATCCTAGAACTTTCATTTCATTTTTTGTGTTGCTACAATTTGTCCATTAATCGGTATTCTAGCTCCATTAACCGGTATTCTAGCTGAAAGTTTCAAAGTTGTCAATTGTTTTCGAAACTCGGTTCACAGAGTGGCTGGTCCTTTTTTGGGACATATTTGTTGTGTATTTTCCCAATTTCGTCTTGTATTTTGCCATACACAGTACAATTAGCTAATTGTTATTATGCCAAGGTAAATTGTGCAACGTATTGCCGCTCTGCCATGGGTCACATGGCCGTCCTTCATACACCGCTTTACTAGGACTAACGCCGAAGTACAGATGATGGTATGTATGTTTTCACTATTTCCTCAGTTTTTGTTTCTCCACAGTTTTCTAACTGGGGTCCTCACACATTTTTTTTGTGTGTACATTACGTGCCACCTAGAAAATTCCAAAAGAAGTTGCCTCTTGTTTGGACACCCCGAAACGGGCTGGCAAGACTAAGATTGGGCAAAGAGAGCTTCAGGATGACCGTTTATGACACCTCACTCGACGGTCTATTCTTCAAGCAAGGATGGAAGAAGTTCCTCAGGAGACATGACATGAGATTGGCACTGCTATACTAATTACATTTAAGACCATTGCCAACAATGAGTTGGAGATTATAGTCATCCTTTTATGTCCTTTGAGAAGATCATGTTGGATGAGTTCTGGGCTTTCATGAGTTATTTAGTCATTTCTCAGCATTTTTTTAAAACCATGGAGGAGAACTGCATGTGAAATTCATAGATACGAGAAGAAAAGAATAAAGGCACGTACAAAGTTCAATTCTTTTTCTGTTTATTTGGTTTCCTCTTTGTCTACATACTGGTTTTTGAACTGTGGTTTGTGAATGCGATGTATATAGACATGTTTTAGTGTGTTTGTTCACTTATTGCAATCGGTATGTAGTCTATATTAATACATTCAAAAACATATTATATTAGTGAATGAAGGAAATATTTTTATAATTGTCATATAAGATTATAATATTAGTTGAGACGTGCGTTGCACGTGCATACTTACTAGTCGTTCAGAAAATGGGATTTTGCCCTATCTTTTCCAAACCTTTGATCATTAGCTTTGCTATACATGATCTTTTGCCCCAATTTTACTTGCTATTTGACCATTTGTCTTTTGCCCCTCTTCTACAAATTTATATCATCTCGAGAATTCAAGGAAAGAGCAAGTTACCCGTCCTATGAAGTTTTCCCAAATTGACTTCACTTATACCAGGCGTCGGCGATGAGAAAAATGGAGGGTTGTTCCCCAAACTAGTGCATGGCACTCGACGAGAGGAAGCAAGAGGAGTGTGTAGACGGGGTGGGAGGTTTTGACGAGCAGTGCTCCAGGCATGAGCTCAAGGAGTGGCTCTGACCTACCTCAATGGGGAAGGGGTGGCAGGTCAAGGACAGAAGATTGCCTGCAGAGATCCTCAACGTGTTGTTCGCTTACCATCGCAAGTTGCATCGATAAATCATGTAGACCGACCTTCTGTACGTGCCGACCACCTCCCTTTGCGAGCAGACACCCTGCACATCTCTCAATACAAGCCCTACTGGCTGACGCTTCATCGACCTATTGCGTTAGGCCCTCCTTTTCCCTCATTCTCCTGTCTTCATGCCGCTAGCGAGAAACAATGTCTCGACGGCTTCTGTTGCTCTCTGCCACGATGTTGCTCCTTATTGTTGTCCTTACCCTAATGCTTCTCATTGCGTTGTCGATTCTATCTTCCACCATGCCGCTAGCGAGAAACAATGTCGACGGCTTTTATTGCTCTCTGCCACGATGTTGCTCCTTATTGTTGCACTCACCCTGCCGCTTCTCATTGCATTGTTGCTTCTATCTTTCACCATGCTGCTAGCAGGAAACAAATGTCTCTACGGCTTATGTTTCCCTCTGCCACGATGTTGCTCCTCATTGTTACCCTTACCTTGCCGCTTCACCTGCATTGTTGCTTCTGTGTTTCACCATTGCGCAAAATGGTTGTGCACATGCCCCCAGTTCAAGCAAGCGAAGGACGGAAGGACATATGTGATTGGGTCTAGTTTAGCCCAACCAAACAGATGAGGGCATTTTAGTCATTGAATTGGGCTCATGTTGTAGAGGGCAAAACATCAAAGAAAAGCAAAAATGTGGCAAATAGTATTAGATTGAACGAAATGAGGGCAAATGATCAGGGTGATGTATATCCAATAAAATATTCTTTTAGTGAAAACTTTCCTCATGAGCATCGAATCTATAGCTAATGCATGGCATGGATCACAGGTAGAATCTCTAAACACTAATTAGTAGATAACCCCTCCAACATAATAATTAGATGGATATTTGGAGAAACCGTACCCAGATCTCGTCGTAGCACCCGGATCTCCAAGACAGACAACGTCGGCGAACTTGGCTGCAATTCAACTCAACAGGGCCGATCTTCCGCCAAGCCATGGTGAATTGGGGGTTGTTGCCCTACTTTACGCAACAGTGACCCGACGCCATCCCCATGCAACAGTGACCAACCATCTGTGACGTCACGGGGCGCGGAGGCCCTGCACCGCCCCATGCATCAACCTACTGGATGTGGTGCTCGCTCAGTGCTACAGTGACCCAAAAGCGATGACTCTGCTTGCCCTTTGATGTTTCGATTCTGAAGCAGAATTGTGTTGAATGAATGTGGTGGTTTTAGGGTACATATTCTATTCTAGTGTGGACAATTTCCTAATGTAACCCATGGATGTAATTGAGAACATGGTGATTTCAAAGATGCATCAAAGGATTAGAAATTTTGAGAAGGATACACATATGCTTGTGATTTTCTATTATATGGCAGAAAATCGATGGCTTTGTTCAACTTTATCAATGGAAATCGTATTTGTGGTCATTGTGTGATTGATGGCATACTTGCACATGCTTCGGTTATAGCAAAACTGATGCTTTTGCTTGCTTGCATCTAAACGAGCTGTTGGTTTTCTGAAGTGAACCATGGCAATAAAGTTCACCCGAGAAATCTTATGAAGGGGCGAAAAATCGTTTCCGCAAAAGAAAAGTTTGAAGGCACCTCCTTTGGAGATCATGATGTGACGATTTTGGGCCGAGTAAATGGACTACGCACGCACTTGCACGGCCCATTGTTACTACATTTGCATCGAAAAAATAAACTTTCAAGCGCGAAAAATCAAGTGGAGATGCTGGGTGGGAGCTCCTATAGGGCGACCTGTGCGCCCGATGAAGCGGAAACGCGCACCCCACCCTGCGTACCTTGTTGGGCTGGCCATAGCGCGGGGCGGGACGGACCTGTATTTTTTTTATTATTTTACGTTTTTCTTTTTTCTCTTCTAAAATAATTCGGCATATAAAAAAGCTCCAAATTTCTAAATAATTGCGAATTTTGAAAAAGAATCTTCAAGAAATCAAAAAATGATTGTGCATTCAGAAAAAATGTTCACAATTTTGAAAAATTGTTTGAGAAATCATAAAATGTTCATACATTAAAAAAATGTCCGTGATATTGAAAAATGTTTACATGTTCAATATTCACATATTTAAAAAAATGTTTGCATATTAAAAAATGTTCATGAATTGGAACAAAATTATCCAAATTCAAATAATGTTCATTAAATTTTAAAATGTTCATAAAAAATAAAAAATATTTGTTAATTTTAAATATTGTCTGAAAAAATTATAAAACTTCATCAGTTCAAAAAATGTTTGGTGATTCAAAAAATGTTCATGAATTCGACAAATGATCATGCATTTCAAAAAACTATTCACAAAACAGTACAATGTTCGTGAAATTCAAAAATTGTTCCCAGAATTCAAGAACTGTTCACAGAGTCAAAAAATGTTCACGAGTTTCAAAAAACTTTCACTATGGAAAGAAATGTTCATAAATTTGTCAATAATGTTCAGGAATTCTAAAAATGTTCTTGACGAATTTGTAAAAGATGTTCATGGATTTCAAAATATGTTTATGGTTTCAGAAAAATGTTCACGAATTCAAACAAATCTCCATGGTTTCAAAAAACTGTTTACAAAAAAAAATCAGAAAGTTCTAAAATTGTTCCCAAAGTTCAAAGACTGAGAATCGTGGAAGGAGAATCGGACAATATCTTCCTCAAAACAAGAAAAAGGGGTTCACTAATTCAAAAAGTGTTCACGAGTTCCAAAACTGTTCACAATTGAAAAAAAATGTTCGAAAATTTGTAAAAAAAAATTCACAGATTCAAAAAAATCCATGCCAAATTCGTAAAAATGTTCACAAATTTGAAAAAGAATGTTCATGATTTAAAAACAAAATGTTTACGAATTCAAAAGGTGATGATGGTTTAAAAAATGTTCACAAATTTGAAAGTTGTTCACAAAAATGAAAAATAAAATGAAAATACGAAGAAAGGAAAACGAAAAACATGAAAGAAACAAAAAAAGGAAAAGAAAGAAAGAAAAAATGAAAAAAAAATGAAAACACCGGTTCAGGGAAAGTTCTAGAACCTTCCCAAAACCGG